TTTTTTTTTTTTTTTTTATTTCGTTGAAAATGAACAATCACGAGCGTACGAATCGATCGAAAAACGATTTGCAAAGAGTTTTTGCGTTTCCCTGCTCGATCGTATTGCGTCAACGAGAATTAGAATCAATTTCATCGTTATATTTTTATCTATTACGATTTTTTCTCGTTCATCGTTATACGATAAGGATACCCTTCTTACGATACTCTACTATTGCAAGTAATAACAAGTTTAGAATTAGAATTAGAATTAGAATCAATTTCATCGTTATATTTTTATCTATTACGATTTTTTCTCGTTCATCGTTATACGATAAGGATACTCTTCTTACGATACTCTACTATTGCAAGTAATAACAAGTTTCAAGTTTATCGTCCAGATTTGTAATTGTGTAAATATAGTTGAGAACAGTTTGTTTTAAAGAAAGCAACGGTGGAGTGAACTTGGAACAGCTGTGTAAGTACCCACTCGAGAAATAATAAACATTGACATTTGGAATTTGTAAAACGGTAGTAGTAGATACCGAGCCAGTTTCGTAAATCACGTTCCTGAATCATACGTAAGAAGAATCTGGTTGGAACGCAAATACGTAGATCCATGGTGGGCAAACACAGCCGAGATTTTCCTCCAGCTGTAGATAGATAGATAGATAGATAGATGGAGGACGCGTAGAATCGACGATTATCGACGGATCGACTTTATTATATTATTAGCATTTGTTGGAATCGCGTTTTCTTTTTAGAACGGTGGCGTTTCATCGAGATGTTGGAATCGCGATTCGAGTTTTTTTTTTCCATCGTAAATACGAAACACGTCAATGTCGATCGAGTCGTTCACGTGATCGCACGTGATTGGTTACCACTGAATACTTGGATTTCCACGCATATCGTGTTTTTTTTTCCCTTTTTTTTTCCTCGTCAACCCTACGTCAGGTACACGTGTACGTGTTACGAGTTGATCACTTTCTTTCGCGTCTCGTCGTCTCTACGTGGTTAATTTTTATCGAACAACGACGCTTATCGTCCTGATTTAATCACGGATAAATGGATTTATTTTCTATTCATATTCCGTTCATCGTAAAATCTTAATCGTTATTTCGTGAGACGAACAATGTCAAGATTCTTAAATCACGTAATATTCTTCCCTCCTAGATAATATATTTACTCGTATTACTTGGCGATTAAACAGGTCTTACAAGATTTATTACCGTAAATTATCCCTCGAATTATTTACATTTAGGAACGAGAAACTAGTCGTTGATGTAACGCGAAAGTGTTCAAAGACACGGGCCGATGTACTTTCATGGCGCGCATAAATTACGTTATTTCTCGTGCGAATTTCTGGAGGAGTGGAGGAGAAATAGTTGAGCATGTTGGAGAATTCTAGTGAGATCGATATATATATATATATTTCTCATAGTTTTGGAAGACGAGCCTGCAGTCGGCCTTGATTCCATACACGTGTTATCACTTTCGAAATCGATTATAAAATGTTATAAAATGTGTCGAATCGTTTGAAGCGTGTTATGCGTTAAAATTTACGTTTCTTTAACTTCCCGAATGAACACGATGAGTAATTTTAAAAATTTCGATATATATTTAAACATTTGAGATTTCCACGACGTTAAATTGCGAAACTATACGAATCGTCGAAAAATACGAATTTTAATTTCGGTACAATGTCCATCCAGAAAACCAGAAACACGACATTCTTTTTAAACTCTGTCTCGAAAGAAGATCCTAGAAGAGAATCTTTATTATTTACAATTTATGTTTTGGTTAATAAAATTCATATAATTCGATAAAAAATTATTTATAAATTGTTGTTAATAAACTTCCATAATTTGTGATTGTAATTAATAAAAGGAAAAATGGTAAATTTTTACCATTATTTTATATCGTGATAGACGAATAAGAAAAAATATAATATAGTTACGTAAACGTATAGGAATATATATATATATATTATATATATATAATGGAAAATGGAAAATGGATCTTAACGCGTATTTCCTCCTATACGATACGAATCCTGAGAGGAGAAGGGGAAAAAAAATGTTCGAGATAAATCCGGAAAGTATAGAAAAATATATGTCGTAACAAATACGGACGACGAGAAAATATGTTTAGGTGTGTCGATCTACGTAATCGAATTATTTGGTTCGTTTTGAATAAAACACGATGAAAGGTGTGGAGTCTAATCGACCAATCCGACCGGTTCGTTTGTCCTCTAACCTCCAACAAGGAGTTCCTCTATTTTTTTATAACAATTGTAACGAGAATGAAGTTGACGACAAAGAATCGAGCTTCTTTTTTTTTTTTCGTTTCTCTCGTATTGCGAATAATATTGAAACGATACAGGAAATCTAGATAGAGCAGATACAGCGAACGTAGAATTTATTAAAATTAATTATGAAAGAAGGTGGAATATCTAGGCATCCAATCCAACCGGTTTCCCGGTTTCGAATTCATTTCGATTATCGGCGGAGACCGATCCTCCTCTCAGTGATGAAACATCGTTTGCCCAAGGATTATCGTTCGCTCATCTTCCAATCCTTTCTCGATAAGAAAACCACCGATTGAAATTCATCCCGGGCGGGACACATGGTATATTCGACGACGCGGCGAATTTCGAGGTGTCGAGGCATTTGAAATTTCCAAATTCGAGATGTCGACACAGGTTTTTCGCGATCGATGGAACGTGGAAGCGTCGGACATCGCGAGAAACACTCACAACCCCATAAGATCCATCGTGGAGAGCCTCGTGGTCGAGCCTAATCCCGCTAAATCTGTCATCTCGTTGTCGATCGGTGAGATTTTTTCCTTTCGTGCGCGCGTGTGTATGTGTGCAAGTGTGTGTGTCAGAGTTTTATTTTATTTTCCTGGCTCACGAATTCGAAAAATCGATGTAAAAATACAATAGTAAAAGTTCGTACGATACGTATTTTTTTTTACAACTGGAATTCTGTTTGTCGATTAAAGTTTTTGTGTAAAAGTAATCGATCTCAACTTGGGACTAGAAAAAGATCTATCTGAGATAAGAACAGACGATGGAATCGAGTTTCTGGAATTGGCAGTGAAATTCGCGGATAATTTTCGCGCTTAATCGCGTATAATTAGTTTAAAAAGGCTGTTTCTCTATTTAACAATAATCTTAAGCTATTATTTTAAACTTTACGCGAATATCTGAAAATACGGATACGATAATCGCAAAGGAGATTAGAATAAAGTTTATATCTAGGGAATATCTGCTGCCAAAATTTCTTTGTTATCGAATTAAATTAGAACGAAGGGAGGGAATATAATTCTGTTTCAATTACGATTACGATCTTCTCCGGATTTGTCTCAGGGATGGTACAATTGCCATTTTCAAGAGGCAAATTTCTTAATCATTTAGAATTTTGAAGCGTTGTCAAATTAGAATCACGAAAGGAATATTTGATTTTCTATCGATGCTTAGGCGATCCAACTACGTTTGGCAATCTAAAACCACCGAAAGAGGTAATCGAAGCAGTTCAACAAAGCCTCGTTTCTCAGTTGTACAATGGTTATGCACCCAGTACAGGTATTGTTTCTATCCAATTTTTTTTTTAAATTAAATTATTCATTTTTTATTCTAAATTCGATTTATTAAATTTAACTTTCCATAATCTTCCCATAAATTTAATAATCTTTTTTAAACAAACTTGTTTTCTAATTTTAGGTTATCAGATTGCAAAGGAAGCTGTAGCAGAATATAGTTCCAACGAATTTGTAAAAGTCGATGCCAAGGTAAAATTTTAAATAACGTTGTAAAAGATTTTATGGAAATACTATTAAAATAACGTTCCTCTCATAATTATTTACGTTCAAAATTTGTGAAGAATATAGAACTTTTATTTATTTAATTGATTGCATTATTTACAACATTTTGATTATCGAATCATTTGAATCATTTACCACTGTTCGAATTATATTACGCTCGATACTAAATGTTGCGAAACAATATATGTATTATCGTTATTAATAATATTTCAAATTTTAATACACATCCCATAAAATACGTATGTATTTTTGATACATTTTTTTCCACTGACCGGACAATCGCCGATATTAAAATTTTGTTCGTCATTGTCCGTCTTTCAAACCAATAAATAGCAATTATCCTTATTCACGATTTGATTAAAACATATCTCTTGTCAGTTTTATTGTTAAAATGCAATGAAATATTATTAAAAGTTTAATAATACAGGATTGAAGTTCATTTCTTCGAAGTATTAAATTGAAAACAAACTTTTTTCTTACCAACTTTTGAACGTTTTTTTCCTCTCTTCCCCCCCTTTTTTTTAAAATAAAACAGTATATTCTAATTCCGATAGTAAAAATTTGAGGAAAAATTTGAGGAAAAATATTTGGAAAACTCTGTATATAGTTGAAATCGAAAGGAAAAGATAACAAAAAAAGTAAGGTTAAAGAAGAAAATGCAGTAACAGTCTGGTTATCCTATATTGTTATCGATCTGTAGGAAACTATGCTACTGAAAGCTGCGTTGCAAATACACATTGTTTCCGGCTACGCCTTGTTTTGCATTCGCAAATAAATCATGTATATTAATTACATTCGAAGTCTGATTAATTGTCCTATTTAATGAATTATTTGGATAACACGTTGGGGAATATGCGCGTAGATATAAATGCACCCTTTGATTAATGAATTTAACATTAACTGTGAAACGGTTGAGCGCATTAAAAATATTCCAATATTTCGGAAAAACTTTATTTCGCTTCATCTTCTCCCTTGTTTAAAGAAGAAAGACAATTAATATTTTTAAAACCAAATATAATTTCAAATATGATTTACGATTATTTATATTCAATAAATTATATTCCATTATCGCGCAATAATGCTTTATTCCCCAAAAATTCCCAAGGGAACTACTAAATTTCGAGTGATTTTCGATCATTTCGCATAATTCAACAACCACTCGTAACATATTTATCCCATAGAATATTCCACAAGATACTGTTCGACAATGTAAAAAATATCTTTATGAAATTACTTTAAGTGTCGATCATGGAAAGATCGTATAGAAATAATATAATTATCAAATATAATATGATTATCGATATGATTACCAATATCTGTACATACATCTTACGATAGGGAAATAATCGTTACGTTGTACAATATCTCCGTTGTGCAAAATGTAATTGAAAAATGACAGGCAACGAGGTATACAATCGATTCAGATTTCTGACTATATTCAATTTTTCATACAGACGATACACATGATTTTCAATCTTGGAGAAGACGTTTCGATTCGAATTAACCCCCGATCTGTAATCAGAGGCATATAGAAACTCGTTCATCCGAAGGCATTATATCGTGTCCGTTCCCTTTCGGTGTTCGTATTTATTCGTTGTTCGCGCATGCACGTGTATATATATATATATATACGATATCTAGTTAAACCATTGATCGAACTGGCGATCAAGTTTGCAGGGAAAACCGAATTTCTCTGGACGATCGGCCGCAAACTAGAAGCCACGTTTCCTTCGAAAGAAAAAATATCGTCGATTAACCGAGGACCATTTGGCATCTATAGTATAGAAAATACAATCGCGATAAAATTGAAGAATTCTTTTTTTTTTTTTTTTTTTCTGTTTTTCGCGTTAGAAACATTTGTTTTTTCGATCGATGAATTTTTCTCCTCGTTTGTTTTCGCGTTTTATGGTGGTTTTTTCATTCGAAATTATTTTGTTCAAGGAATTTTTTTCTTCTAATTTTCCAACCGAGCTTTATCGAATTGATCGCACAGCTTGCCCGATACTCGTTGCCATATTTTTCAATATTCGCTATATAACAACGTTTTAGAAAATCTCTTTATATAGCTAGTGAAAAATATAGCTACGAAAACATATTGTATAAGATCGAGCGTTAAAATCTTTATAATATTTAAAACGAAAAGATGGAATATAAACGGTAAAAATGTATCCTACTTTTCATCTCGTAATATCTGACGCGATAAATATTTTTCAATATGTACAGATTACACGTTAAAAAAATAAAAAAACAAACCATCCTGAAGATTCGTTGGAAAATTAAAAAATCCATTACAATGATAAAAAAATGAAATTCTTGTTCGAATAATTCACACATACCACACGTTGAAAAGTATCGTATAACGAATTCGATACTCGTAATTCGATATTTCGTACCATTGAAAATAATACGAGAGAAACAAATTAATGATATTTATACCTTGTACAAATATAAATAAATTTACGTACGAGAAGATTAAAAAAAATATCCCTTTTATAATTCCTTTATAGAAGAAAGACAAAGGGATTACAACGCGTTATTAAATTTAACACCAGATATATTCTATCCTCGTCGTTTGAAAAACACCCACTTAAAAATAATACGTCATCATCGGCGAATACGATTTTACGATCGTGAAAATATAAAATAAAGTCCTTTAGTTTCCAAGTCTTTGTACGGAATCGATATCGTTAAAAAAAATGTTCACAAAGCAAGGAACATTTCTCTTGTCCTGCAAAAATTTAAATGTATGGGTTGCAATGAATCCGCTATTAGCTTTATTCGGCGCACCCGCAGGAAATGAAAGCTGGCAACTATCAGAATCGAGATTTTTCACTGTTCTAAAAATTTCACGTGCATCGAACGTTTAATTAATGCATGCCCGCTGTAAACGAATAATTCTCCTCTTTTTACCTCTCTTATGTAATTTACTTGAAAAATATTTACGAATATTTATTTTTCGTTCTAAATTTTATTCTATCATGAAAAATCGAATTGTGAATTTTTTTTTTTCTAAGACATCGTCTTAAATCTTTTAGAGTTCAAATACTATAATAATCCTTTTTATCTCTATCAATCGTTACGTTTTTTAACACATTTTTCAAGTTTTATTCGAGCCATGCAAACACACACATATTTTTTTTTCGAATCTAAATATATTAAAGTCACGCATATATCGTAAATAGATTTAAACGTTTCGTAATATTTATTCTTATAAAAAGTTATCTTTAACAAAGACTTTAATAAAAAATTTATGGAAAAGATGATTTTGAAATAATGGAATGATCTTAATCCTCGATTCTTTCAATTCCTTTCTTTTTAGGACGTAATTTTATGCAGCGGATGTTCCTGCGCCCTCGACCTCTGTATAACAGCGTTAGCACGAAGGGAGCAAAATATCCTGATACCACGACCCGGTTTCTCTATCTATCGAACACTTGCGGAAGGTCTTGGTATCAACGTAAAATCTTACGACTTACGCGTAAGTATAAGCTTATTTCGAAAATTTTTACCCGTATACCGATATTTTCAATCTTAAATTTGTCGATATCGATAATAAGTTTTCAAATAAAACTGAATTTTTTTATTTCTATATATTGTTACGTCTACTTTTCTTTTTAATACATCGCAATATGTATGCCAAAAAAAAAAAAAAAAAAAAATTTACATTTACTTTCACAATATTTTTCATCAATTTCGTCAAAGAGCGTTTGAAAAAAAGAAAACGTAAAAAGATATAATAATAATTTGCAAATCGATTTTCTACGCCGTAGAAAAAAGAAAAAAAATCGTAAACATGTTTACCGCGATGAATAACGCGATAAATTAAACGATATTTGGCTCACGAATTCCAATACGATTTTTTCCAATCTGGCAAATACGCATTTTCGATTCCAAAAAGGGAAATGTTAAACCTCGTAGTAATAACGAGGCCTGTTCCGTCATTCCTTTGTCTCCTTTGCCGCGAGTTTTAATGCCTCCTCCTCTCTCGTCCGGATAGCGCGAACTATTTTACCACAGAGAAGTAATTAAAACCGCGCTACCGTAATTCTCGTTGCTCTACCGAACAGAGAAAAAGAGAGAGAGAGAGAGAGAGAGAGAGAGAGAGAGAGAGAGAGAGAGAGAGAGNGAGAGAGAGAGAGAGAGAGAGAGAGAGAGAGAGAGAGAGAGAGAGAGAGAGTGCAAGAGTCGACACGGATTATATTCTGACGTAAGGTGGGCCTATTGCTCGGTACGCGACACGTCTATTCGTCACATGCCACGTGAAAAATTTACTCGCCATACGCGATACGCCATGTCATTCTCTCGAGAATTATTATCGAATGTCAAGGTTCACTAGGTATTTAATTTTGGAACCTTTCGTGTTTCGCTTTTAGTGGCTTTCGTGCGGTTAACTTTTAAATATTTTAATCAGAGGAAGCTATGTCTCGACTTATCGATTTTCTAACGATGTTTCGATATTTTAATTTTCCCGATCTCTATGATTTTTTTTTAACGTATTTATTAACGTATTTGTGGTTGAAGGGAAGTGTGATTAGAAATATCGGTGGTTAAACTTTTTAAATTTTTTAACTTGTTTTTTTTTTTAAAATTCGTACTTGTACTCCTTCTTTAAATGTCACGGATAAAATACTTCATCGAGATACGATGCAAATTTTTACACAGCGACACGCTGAATTAATATTGCAAATGAGATTAAAAATCAGCAGATTTATAACAATATATCATGGAACGTATGCTAATAACTTGTATTTTTTTAATCAACAACATCGTCGAAAATCGAATATATCAAATCTTGCTACTTATCGCGTTGCACGATTCCTACCATTTTTTGTGTCTTATGTGCTCACACGTTATTGATCCAGCCACTGTGTACCGGGCGTCTTGAAAGTACTTGCTATTCGCGTTGGGGAAAAGTAAACAATTTTCCGAATTACGTACGAACGTAAAATGACGAAATAACATTTTGTTGCGTGCTACGTCATGTTTCCTTACAATTTTAACGCGTCAAAGATAGCGTTAACGCGTGTAAATATCGTCGAAAATGTCTAACTGCGATAAGTTAGGAGTATTTAAAGTCGTATATATATCAGCCATACTTGTTCAATAACGATTAACTTGAAAAAGCAATAAAAATGTGTTGTACAGAGATATCGTAAATCGCGTTACTTTAAAACAGATATCAGAAAACTATTTAAGATAATTAAAAGTTTGCGAGAAGGGGTTAGAAATTGCTTCGAATTAAGAGGAATTACATTTCGAAGCGGTATCCTCGATAATAATCAATTTAATATTGTTCGACCTAAATAGAGGGAATTGACTTTTATATTTTTCAACGCCAGTTCTCTCGATTCGATCTGTCTTCTATATTTACAGTAGCTTTTAAACGAACCTTTAAACGTAATTTAAGTTTTCATTCAATTTCACGTTCCATGCATTCCGAATAATATTGAGAGTAATTAAATTGTCGATAAATTTCTACGATGATATTTTTGAAGGTACGACTACTACTATATTTTAAGTTTTTTTCATAACTACGTAGATATTGAATGAAGGAATGGCAAAATAAAAAAAAAAAATATTACTCACAATATGTATAAAAATAGTATATATTTTCGAATGAAAATTACTTGCTCGATCAATTTTTCTAATTTTTCTCCTTTGAATTTATTTAAAATTTTTCCAATTGGGAATTATATTACTTTGTAACGTTTCTATTCTAACCGGTTATCTATACCTTGTGTTAATGTCAATCAATTTACATTTTCAGCCCGAACTCGGTTGGGAAATCGATCTAGACGATTTGGAATCACAGATCGACGAATCGACGGCAGCGATCGTTATAAATAATCCTTCGAATCCGTGCGGTTCCGTGTTCAGCAAGGATCACGCACTCGACATTCTCGATGTAGCCGCTCGTTACTACGTACCAATTATAGCCGATGAGATTTACGAGCATATGGTACGTGCTTAATATTTTCTCCCGTTCATAACGTATTTCACAAATTTTTCCCAACAAATGGGAAATACATTTCTTTCGTCGTTTCCTTTTCACCAGGTGTTTCCGGGACAAACTTTTCACTCGTTAGCGTCCTTGTCGAGAGAAGTTCCGATTTTGTCGTGCAGCGGTTTGACAAAAAGGTATCGGAGAGATCATCAAGTTTGAAATTTTTCACCATCTCGCTCCACGTATAGTATATATTTACTCGCCTCGATCCATACGTATATACGTATTCTGTATATACATAATTGCACGAGCATCGTGAAATCAATATTACAGTGAATTCTTGATAGCTCGATGAGATATTTAGTGATATCACATATCATAAACTCTACAGAGATTGTAATTTAGCTTCAAAATTTGATGTAAATTTAATAGAAAGCATAATATAAAAAATCATAATAACACGTCATTTTCCATTGTTCAATTTGATTAATGCAATTTCGAGGATAATGCACTAACGTAATAATCGAATCACGATAATGGACGCATTAACAGGTAAACGGTAATCTTGAACGATATTTCAGATTTTTAGTGCCCGGTTGGCGTATGGGCTGGATAATCATTCACGATCGTCAAAACGTTCTGGAGAAAGAGGTGGGTAATTGCACGATATATACGGTACAGCTCGAAAATAATTGCTTCTCCGTTCCGTATTGTTTCCGTAACAAGAACGAGACCGGATCCGTTTCTGCGTTCCACCTCTCCGCGATTGGATTAAATTTCGCGTTGATTAAATTTTATTCTATCGTTGAACTTCTTCCCTTGGCATCGTTCATTATATTCTTAACTTTAGTCGAGCTTTCATATTGAAAAAAGAAAGAAAGAAAGAAAGAAAGAAAGAAAGAAAAAGAGCAAAGAGGGAATCGAAAAAAGTGAACGTGTCGATTAAAATACGAGATTGCGAGAACTTACGATTATATACTCGATATATAATATACATTTTCTTTTTTTTTTTTTTTGTTAGATTAGAAAAGCGCTTCATTGCTTAAGTCAAAGAATTATCGGTAGCAATACGCTTGTTCAGGGTGCTCTGCCTGCTATTTTGAAGAACACGCCACAGGGATTTTACGATGATGTTATGAGAACGTTATATGTAAGTTATTGTATTTTGCCATTCTTTAAAAATTTGAATAGAAAATTAACGTATGAAATAATGAATTAAAATTGAACGAGTATTAATTACAACGATTGAATCATATTAACATAATAAAAGAAATTAATAATTAAAATTTTCATATCCAATTTCAGAATCACTCGAAATTGGCGTACGATTATACGATTAAGATTCCTGGACTGAAACCAATAATGCCCAACGGTGCAATGTACATGATGGTAAATCTTCTAAATTTTATCTATCGATATTTCGCGATTTTTCGATATACGATATACGATTCGTGAATTGTGAAAAACATCCTAATATATATATATATAAAAAAAAAAAAAAAAAAAAATGCGAAAGTTACGAGGCAAAATACTTTTGCAAAGTTGTAAAACGTTTTATCGTAAATTGCTTGCGATTTACCGTTAAACTGGATTGCAAGATGGGTTCGATCGAACTTGCATTCGTGTAAATATTTCGCGTAATTAGTCGAAAATCAGACGTGATTTAAACGTAAAGATAAACAGGAAATGTTAAAGGTGGTCGATCGCAATTTATCGACTATAAATTATTCTATCGATTCCCCAGGTTTACATAGATTTACCTTGTTTTCCGGAATTTAATTCCGACCTCGAATTCGTGCAGCGATTGCTAATGGAGGAGTCCGTGTTTTGTCTTCCTGGCCAGGTACGCCGAATAATTCGAGTAGCCATTCAATTTGACATTTTCGTCGATTACACGCACGCTTCTTTTCTTCCTTCTTTTCACAGTGCTTTGATTATCCATCCTACATGAGACTGGTCATCACAATTCCCATGGAAATGTTGGAGGAAGCTTGTCAAAGAATTCAGGAATTTTGCGAGAGGCATCACTATAAAACAGCCAAAGATACGCAAATAAATAATCTAATTGCTACGTATTGAAGTGCAAATATTATTTTTTTATGCTTTTTTTTTTATTATTTATATTATAGAAAAAGCGATTTTGTTAATATAATCTATTTTATAATAAAATTATTTTTGTAAAACACACGCAAAAGAAATAATTCCGTATCCTATAAAATAAAAGCAAAAAGTGTGATTAACAACAATCAAAATCTGAAATTATGTGAATTAAATATATGATAATTTTAATTCATAAAATTTTAACGAGTAGTTATCAGTCATAAATTACACATATCGCAATGCAAAAAGTACAATTTAAATAGCCGATTTACATAGACTGACTGTTTATCGTAAAAATTAAAAGTTGAAAAAAATATCGGATTATGTCTCTTTCGAAAGCAAATTTAATCCGATACCTCACTCTATATAAATGTCTCCCTACATGTTCCACTACCTATATTTATACACAATTATATCACAGCATCCGTGACTTTTTAACGTATATCAATGTATTTCATTAACTTACACGTTATAATTACTAATTCTACACGCGTAACTTCGGATAAGCTTTGTACCAACATTTATCTATACAAGCCGATGATCTAATTAATTTCCATTTCGCGCTTGTGCACGTTAAACTTTGCCTCGATAGTGTGTTGTTAAACACACGAATTCTGGTTAATTCCACGACAAAATGTTTCCGCTGCAAATACAATTGCCATGTTAAACAATCGTGTCAAGCGTCCTGTCTTATCCATAATAATGGACAAGTTACATGAATTTGATTATTCTTTTACCTTTTTCCTATTTTTTATACGATGATTTTATACGTAATTGTAAATTTACTTATCTAAAAATAAAATTGAGATTTTGTTTTTATTAATTAATTTTTATCGAACAAGTTTTTCATAATTTTTATATAACGAGAAAATAATTATAAATTTCAATTTCCTGATCATTTTAACATGTTGGATTATATAGCATATTGAATTTTTATTAAAATTCTCGTTATATAAACTTATGGAATTTATGTTGAAATTTATGAACATAAATGAAACGAGAGTAAAAAATGAGATGTAATTTTATTTTCGAAATACAATTTGCTTTGTATATGTTCCCTATATATGATATAAATACTTGAAATTTAAATTTTTTCCTATAAAACACAACTGTCATCATGGCGTCCATATTGAAAATTTTTTCCCGTTTAAACTAATCTCAACCATCGGTTGATATTATTTATTTGCGCAAACAAAACAAAAAAAAATGAAATCTTTAAGATAAATTTATAGAATGTAAAAAATTAAATTAATCGTATCAAAATAAAACAATAATCTAGATCAAATTCTATTTTAGAAGTTCGTAATAGCACTAATTTTAATTGTATAATATACGAATAAGAAAAAAATATAAATTTTTCTTAAAGAATTATCAATAAATAATCAAACAAACGCTTATCAATGAAATAGCATAAAGAAAACTAAACGAATAACTTTTGTCAAATAAATATTAATTAGCAGTAGATTATTCGCACACCCGAAGCGAAACGTCTGTTACAACGGAATGACACGTAGCGATTTCGATGTATCAAATTACAAATTGGAGAGGGGATATGGTCAACAATTCGACAAGTCGGAATATGTCGAACGTGACACAAACACGAATTTCCTGGAAAGATTGTATTATAAGAAATGTTTTCGGTCTTGAGGCTTCGAGCGTAAAATCAAAACAAATGTAAGAAATAACAACACACGAATTGAATATATGGATAGATTTAGGGGGAAAAAAATTACATATAAGAGAAATGAATGAATATGAAACGTATATTATATATGAATTAATTGTAATGTCTATTTTTATCTTTCTTTTTTATTTTTATAATAACTACTACTAAAGTTTCTATTAAAATAAATAAAATCTTACCACATTTGCGTGAAAGTCGTCTTTTAATTATTACGATGTGTAGAAACGGTTACATTTTCAAAGCCACTTCATCTTCAAAGCTCGAATCAAACGATAATTTGCACAAAGATGTTCAATTCGGATATAATAATGATTAAACGAACATGCATTAATTAAAAAAGATTTAATAATAGTATAATAACCGTATTAATATAATATTCTATCAAAAATTTTACATAATTACACACTTTTACCGGTGAAATACAACCTGTCACTATGATTCTCAACTGTAGACTGACGCCATGCGCAATATGCTGCGCACTGATTCGTTTTATTGCTGGGCCTTAGCGTTTTTCTGATTGGCTGGAGTAGTTTTCTATTCATTTCATTCGCGCGAAAATTGAAATATAATAAATTATATTTCAACTGTAGATTTCTACGTATCAAAATCTTAAACACACCGTCTATTAAAAATATAATGAGAATAGATTATTTAACAATTATTTAACAATTTATTTTACAATTAATTTAATATAAAAATTATCTAAATTATTAAAAACTGAAACATGAGATTGAATATGTAAAATAATAAAAAAAAACAGAAATTAATGTATATATAAATTAATTATATATATCTGAATAAAAAATACTGAAAAATAATGAAAGAATTTAAGACAAATATTAAAATAAAAAAAGAAATTGAAAAATAAATAAAAGAATTTATATAAAAATTTATATAAAATAGAATATTTATATGTGACTGAAAATCGTTTTTAAACCATCATATTAAATATTAATTTTGTTATATAATTTAAAGAAGAAAAAAAATAAAATTAAGAAAAAAGATTATAATTAAAATTAAAAAATAATTTAGATTATGAAGAAAAAACGATATTGCTTGATTTTGCAATTTTGATTGAACAATTTATATATATATATGCGTGCATTATTTCTACCATAGATTATTTAGAATTAATTGATTAGATTATTTAGAAATAATATGTACATTGGTCTGAGAAATCAATTTGTATGTAATTATCTATCCAATCTTCTTAATTGAAGAATCCTCTGCGAGGTAGGAAACATAGATATTTAGAATAGGCTGACATAGCCTTGACAAAGAGATGCATACTATGGAATGTGTCTTTCGGTTTGCTGCACATCAATTCATATTGCAAGCATAAATATGCATTGACTTAAAATTGAAATGGTTCAAGGTTATGATTCCTCGTGAAATTCTGCGATTCATTCTAGAATTTGTTGAAGACCGTTTTGAATTTTGAAAGTCAAAGATGAAATTTAGATGAAACGTAGTTCCATTCGAATCGTGAAATAATAAAAGACGGAAAATATCGAACTATAGCGAGATATTTTTGTGAAAAGAACTAAGAGAACAAGAGATGACGTATAGAATGATGTTTAAAAATATGCAGGACGTGAATGCATTATCATGCTCCCTCCATGATTACATCGGATGCTTATAGCTATCATTCGAAACATCTGTTGTAGTCAGGTTCATAGCAGAGAGAATGGCCCACTCTTGCATTTTAACGTACAATGATTTTTTTATAACTTGCCTAAGTCTGTCGTAACGTGAAAATTTTAAAAAAAGTATTATAACAAAATAAGCGTTTCGTACTCTTTCGAGTAAAGATTTTAGTCATCACGTTGAAAATTGAATAGACATGAAATTTTCATAAAATTATCGACATTATAGGAAAATGAATGGAATATCGTTATAATTATTACTTCTTTGATTTATTATTATTTAATAATTGCGTTGGGATATTCGAATATTTGTTGGATTTTTCATTGCAGCTCGACTAAAAATACGTATATATCTTCCTTCGGATAATTTATCGGAAAATTATTTCAAATATTCTTCCGAATAAAATCAATTTAAATATAATAATATATGTTACGTACAGAGAATAAATATATAATATATATCGATACTCTTATTTCTGTAGCGCAATTATTCATAAAATTTCTTATCAATAGGAAATTAACATTAATCGTGAATCGGAAATAATTCAAGAACGCAAAAATGTGCCGAGGAAAGAAGCTAATTCATCGAGCAAATATATCGTGCAAAATGTAACTCGGCACACTTTCACCACGTCGTACAATTTCTCGCAAAAGTAACTGTCGTTTTAGATTTACGATACGCGATGCATGGTTGTTATAAAATCGATTGCTTCGTTTTTTTTCCTCTCATATATCATCCAACCGACTTCAGTGCATCCTTCACCTGGTGATTTCTCTCTTGGATTCCGATTGTCGCGATTGACAAAGAACATCTTTTCCACTTGGAAAAGTGGTTACGTGGAAGGCATCGATGCTCGTCAACGAGCGTTAGTTATTAATCGATGGACGAGCACGAGTGAGATTTAACAGATTCGGAGTGCATACGAATCGGATGTGAATCGAAATGGAATTCGACAGGGTTCTGTAAGGAAATTCTCAGCGTCGTTCAGAGCGCTACATGGAATCTCACATAATTGCGGCGCGAGGATAATCCGTTTGAGATGAAAACCGATAATTCGATATGTAATGTGAAACTACTTGGACACGAATGCAATTCGTGATTAATAATTTCGAAGGTGGCACGACCGATGCGACCTCTCCCGTAATTGCATTCCGCGGCACCGCACTCTGACTTTCCCACGATTCATGAAGTTTCTTCGATGAAATCGATGCAGAATATCGAAATGCACATCGTGATTTAATTTCAAATAAATCCTTCTTGACTTGAAAAACGTATTTACTTTTTTAAAGAATTTCGTCTTAGTAGTAGGATTCTTTGATCGTAGATTCTTGAATGACCGAATCAAAAAAAAAAAAAAAACTCTGTCGAATTTTCCAATTTATATTTTTCTGATGATTAACAGAATCGTTACTGAATATTTTTAAGTAATTAGAATTTTAGATTTAAGTACCTGAAATCCTGAAAAAAATAAAACATTGTAATCGATCGTCATCGTTGAGACGCGTTATTTCTGCCTCGAAAATATAACAAAAATTCGAAGATTCTCCCCAAGTATGGCAAATGCTACACATGAATATATACCAACTGGCAATAACATTCAGTTTGCGATTTGAATCAGAATTGCGGAACTTTGGCACGACACGTGTGCAACTTATTTGTGAATACGTTTTGTAAACTCGATTCGTAAGAGCGTCGACGTTTCTGTCGAATTGATTTTCATTGTTTCCATAAATAT